ATATAATATATATAGTATATAGTATATATTATATACTATATAATATATAGTATATAAGTATATATACTTATATACTATATAATATATAGTATATAAGTATATATTATATAGTATATAATATATAGTATATAACAGTAACACAGTAATATAGTAATATAATGTAGTAATATAATAAATAGTATAATATAGTAATATAATAAAGTATATAATCACATAAATATAAAATAATCAATTAAATTAATTCAATTATGCGATAGTTTTAATAGTCAATAATATAAAAGTAATCAGTCAAATCAATTCAGTTATACAATGGTTTTAATCGTATAATGGTCAATAATAGAAAAGATGTAATTATATAATGTTAAAGAAGGTAATTATATAATGTTAATGATAGAAAAATAAATCATAGAATGTAAAAAATGTGATCGCATAAGATGAAAGGAATGTAATTATATGATGGGAATAAACGAAAAAAAGTGAATCGTAGAAACGGTGAAAAAGTAAGTTTACCAGGGAAATCAAGTCGGTCCGCGTGACTCCGAATTTAGCGCGACGCGAGTTTAAAATAGCGTTTCGCGCGTCTCATAAATGATTTCTCGAAATCATTGAAGTAGTCTTACAGTTTCCTTTCTTCCCTTTCTCCTTGTTCAATTTATCGATAAAACGCGACGATTCGTATCCGCTTCGAGAAGAACCAAGTCGAAATCGAAGAAGTCGTTCGACGCGGTTCAGGGATCGAGGCTCGACGAAAGTCATCGAACGATTTCTATTTCATTGTTATATACTACACAAAGTCATCATTTTTGAGCACAACACGTGTTTCGCAACGAGACGTTCCGCTTTCCATTCAGTTTTCCCTTTAACTTTCAGCACAACTTTCCACCTTTTCTTCTTCCTTCTTTTTTTTCTTTTTTTTTCCTTTACAATTCGATGCCTCCGAGTGTTGTAAATCTCACTTTCCATTTCTGTGCAAAACAATCCAATGTGCGCTTTGTCCATTTGTGAAATCGTCGCAAATGTTTCGCAACGACAGTTGCCAATCAATTCGCGATTTCTACATATATATAGGGTGTCGATTTGTTTGTCGTTCGGTTCGCTTCAACGATGGAAGTGAGAAAGGATATTCAGAGGAGTGTGCTGTAAGTGTTTTACGTGACTTTCGCGTTTCACGGATAATAGCAGTAAATTCTGTAATAAAGGCGACGTTAAGTAGCAAGCAGATAGATTAAAACGAAGACTAATCTTTTGATACTTTTCGCTCGTAAGGAAAATGAAAGGTAACGCCTTCGTCTCTTTCGTCTCCGTTGATAAATTCAGCCTTAAGCAAGTCGAATGATTTTCCCTTCCACAGGTATTAATGTCATTATCGTCACCAATAAATGTATCAATATATATTCTTGCTGTAGTTGATAAATAATTAGTAATTATTTATAAATAATAAATATAATATATAATATTTTATAGTACTAATTAATACATATTATAGTATTTTACATATTTATAGTAATAGTATATATGTAGTATAATATATAGTATTTATAGTATATAGTATATATATAGTATAATATATAGTATTTATAGTATTTATAGTATATAGTATATTTATAGTATATAATTTATACTATTAATTAATACATAGTATAGTATTTCACATATTTATAGTAATAGTATATATGTAGTATAATATATAGTATTTATAGTATATAGTATATTTATAGTATATAATTTATAGTATTAATTAATACATAGTATAGTATTTTATATATTTATAGTAATAGTATATAATATAGTATAATAATTTATAATATTAATTAATACAGTATTGATAATATATATTAATTTATAATACTAAAAAAAAAAATCTCAAATTACACAGCAAAAAACGTATAAAAATATATTTAACATACGTGGACTAGAAATGAATTTATCTACATTCGTCGCACCCTCTTTGAGAGACTAGCAACGCTAGTAAAATATTTAAAAAGAAAAATCTGAAAACTTCAATGAAATATGATAATACATTTATTATATTAATTATATTAATACAATTGAATATGACAATACATTTATTATATTAATATAATTAGATATAATAAGACATTTTTATACATTTTTGATGTATTTTATCAGAAACTTTGAGATACTAAGCTTGGTATATGTATCCGATATTTCTCAGTAAACGAAGAATAATTAGAAGGTTTAGGTTAGGTTTGGTCCTTCTTAAACTTCTTGTTTTCTTCGCCAGTTAATTGACACAACGTGAAGATCAAATGAGATTTCATCGATAACAAGCTGCTCTTTGATTCATCAAAGCCTGCATATCGCATGATACACATGTACACATATATGTGTATATATATATATATATATATATATATTATATGCAACTTTGGTACAATTGTCAACTCTTATATGTGTATATATATATAT